GCCGGAGCCGAGGCTGCTGCTCAGGAGCTGCTCCCGCAGGTCGTGGATCTTGGCCTCGAAGCGCCCGTACTCTGAGGGGGGATTTGGGGTCAATTCCCGGGATTTTGGGAAAATCCCGAATTTTGGGGTCATTGGGGCATCCAGAACATTGAGGGGTTTGGGATATTTGGGAATTTTTGGGGATTTTTTGGGTGTTTTTGGGGAATTTTTGGGGATATTTGGGGGATCGTGGCCTCGAAGCGCCCGTACTCTGAGGGGGGATTTGGGGTCAATTCCGGGGATTTTGGGAGAATCACAAATTTTGGGATCGTCGGGGTATCCAGGACATTGAGGGGACTTGGGAAAATTGGGAATTTTGGGGATTTTTTGGGTGTTTTTGGGGATTTTTGGGGATATTTGGGGGATCTTGGCCCCAAAGCGCCCGTACTCTGAGGGGGGATTTGGGGTCAATTCCGGGGATTTTGGGAGAATCACAAATTTTGGGATCGTCGGGGTATCCAGGACATTGAGGGGACTTGGGAAAATTGGGAATTTTGGGGATTTTTTGGGTCCTTTAATGTCCCCATTCCCTCCCCACGTCCTTGGCCTTGTCGTAGTCAAACAGGGCCCTGGTGGCATTGTCACCTTGTCACCTCCCCGGGGTCACCTGGGTCACCCTCAGTGTCCCCCAGTTCATCCCAGTATGGACCAGTTCATCCCAGTCCATCCCAGTTCATCCCAGTATAAACCAGTACAGCCCAGGGCTCTCAGTGCCCCCATTCCCCACCCACGTCCTTGGCCTTGTCACACCCTGGGTGGCATTGTCACCTTTGTCACCTTTGTCACCTTTGTCACCTTTGTCACCTCCCCGGGGTCACCCGCAGTGTCCCCCAGCCCATCCCAGTATGAACCAGTTCATCCCAGTATAAACCAGTACAGCCCAATGCTCACTGGGTCTCCCAATGTCCCCAAGATCCCAAATCTCCCGAATTTTAAAAACACCTCCAAAAATAGTGAAAAAATCACAAAAAAATCCCCCCAAAAAACCCCAAACTCCCTCAAATCCCCCAGATGTCCCCAAATGTCCCCAGGTGTCCCCAAGATCCCAAATCTGAAAAATCCCTCAAAAAATCCTTCCAAAAATCACCAAAAATTCGCAAAAATTCATAAAAAATCAACAGAAAAACCCAAAAAACCCCCAAAAAACCGAAACTCCCCCAAATGCCCCAAATCCCCCGGATGTCCCCGATGTCCCCGATGTCCCCACCGGACGTAGAAGCCGCGTTTGGGGTCGCTGCGCAGGGAGGCGCTGCCGGAGCCGAGGCTGCTGCTCAGGAGCTGCTCCCGCAGGTCGTGGATCTTGGCCTCGAAGCGCCCGTACTCTGAGGGGGGATTTGGGGTCAATTCCCGGGATTTTGGGAAAATCCCGAATTTTGGGGTCATTGGGGCATCCAGAACATTGAGGGGTTTGGGATATTTGGGAATTTTTGGGGATTTTTTGGGTGTTTTTGGGGATTTTTGGGGATATTTGGGGGATCTTGGCCTCAAAGCACCCATACTCTGAGGGGGGATTTGGGGTGAATTCCCAGGATTTTGGGAAAATCCCGGATTTTGGGGTCATGGGGACATGCAGGACATTGAGGGGGTTTGGGATATTTGGGAATTTTTGGGGATTTTTTGGGTGTTTTTGGGGAATTTTTGGGGATATTTGGGGGATCGTGGCCTCAAAGCGCCCGTACTCTGAGGGGGGATTTGGGGTGAATTCCTGCGGTTTTGGGAAAATCACAAATTTTGGGGTCATTGGGGCATCCAGGACATTGAGGGGACTTGGGAAAAATTGGAATTTTGGGGATTTTTTGGGTGTATTTTGGGGATATTTGGGGGATCTTGGCCTCGAAGCGCCCGTACTCTGAGGGGGGATCTGGGGTGAATTCCCGCGGTTTTGGGAAAATCCCGAATTTTGGGATCAAGGAGGGGTTCGGGGGATTTGGGAATTTTGGGATATTTGGGATATTTTGGGGATTTTTTTGGGACATTTGGGAACAGCGGTGTCACCTTCAGGCCGGCACTGGGCCTGGGGACACCCTGGGGACACCCTGGGGACATTTGGGGACCCTTGGTGACTCCTGGGACACCCTTGGGGACACCCCCAGGGGGTTGGGGACACTTGGGGACACTTGGGGACACTGGTGTCACCTTCGGGCCGGCACTGGGCCACGATGGTCACTGGGGACACCCTTGGGGACATTTGGGGACCCTTGGGGACATTCCCAGGCGTTTGGGGACATTTGGGGACACTGGTGTCACCTTCGGGCCGGTACTGGGCACTGGGGACACCCTTGGGGACATTTGGTGACCCTTGGTGACCGTTGGGGACACCTGGGGACAGCGGTGTCACCTTCAGGCCAGTACTGGGCCATGATGGTCACTGGGGACACCCTGGGGACACCTGAGAACCCTTGGTGACCCCTGGGACATTTGGTGACCCTTGGGGACACTCCCAGGCATTTGGGGACATTTGGGGACAGCAGTGTCACCTTCGGGCCGGTACTGGGCCACGATGGTCACTGGGGACACCCTGGGGACACCCCTGGGGACACTTGGGGACACTTGGGGACCCTTGGGACACCCTTGGGGACCCTTGGTGACCCTTGGGACACCCTTGGTGACCCTTGGGGACACTTGGTGACCCCTGGGGACACAGGGGACACTGGTGTCACCTTCGGGCCGGTACTGGGCCACGATGGTCACCGACTGGCCGGCGTTCTTCAGCGCCAGCGCCGCCTGCTCGTGGGTGGCCCCGCGCAGATCCACCCCGTTCACCTGCGGGGACAGCGGGGACAGCTGGGGACACGCGGTGGTGGCACTTGGGGACAGCGAGGGGACTGAGTGACCCCTGGGGACATTTGGGGACACTGGGGACAGACCTGGGGACGTCGTCGTCGGGCAGCAGCTCCTTGGGGCCGGGCGAGAAGCGCCGCGGGGACGTCGGGGTCAGCGCCGGGGGGAACTCGGGGCCCAGGAAGCTCTGGGGGGGCAGCTCCGAGTCCAGGTGCGCCGAGTAGGCTGGGGACAGTTGGGGACATCAGGGGACACCGGGGGACACCGGGGACACGGGGGGATGGCAGGGGAATCGGGGACATTTGGGGACATCAGGGGACATTGGGGTCACGGGGGACACTGAGGGAATTTAGGAGATTCAGAGATAAAGGGACACTTGGGGACATTTGGGGACACCGGGGACAAGAACAGGGACACAAGGACAGCGGGGTCCCACCACCAATGTCCCACCCCAAATGCCCCGATGTCCCCAGTGTCCCTGATGTCCCCAACCCCTCCAAACCCTCTCAATGTCCCCAATGTCCCCTCTGGCCCCAGTGTCCCCAGTGTCCCCAATCCCCCCAATGTCCCCAGTGTCCCCAGTGTCCCCAGTGTCCCCAGTCCCCCTGGTGTCCCCGGTGTCCCCGTGTGTCACTCACAGCCGGTGACGTCGGGCGGCCCGTAGGTGTCCCCAATGTCCCCAATCCCCCCCGGTGTCCCCAGTGTCCCCAGTGTCCCCAATCCCCAGTGTCCCCAATGTCCCCAGTCCCATTGTCCCCAATGCCTGCCCGGGGGACACCGGTGTCCCCTCCCCCCCACTGTCCCCCCCCCCCCGGTGTCACCGCTGTCACCTCTGTCACCGCTGTCACCCTTGTTATGCTCTTATTCTCTCTTTGCCACCCCCATTTTGTTGTTATTCTTTGTCACCTTCCATTGTCACCTTTCTTTGTCACCCCTTGATTGTCACCTCCCCCCCACTGTCACCTCCCCCCACCGCGGTGTCACCTGTGTCACCGCTGTCACCGTTGTCACCCCATTTTGTTGTTATTCCCTCCTTGTCACCTCCCTTTTGTTGTTTTTGTCACCTCCCCTTTGTCACCTCCCATTGTCACCTTTCACTGTCACCCCCTGATTGTCACCCACCCTCTGTCACCATTGTCACCTCTGTCACCGCTGTCACCCCCTTTTGTCGTTGTTCTCTCTTTGTCACCTCCTTTTGTTGTTTTTGTCACCTCCCCCAGTTTAACCCCCCCAGTGTCACCTCTCACTGTCACCCCCTGATTGTCACCCCCTCCCCACTGTCACCTCGTCATTGTCACCTGTGTCACTTCTCCCATTGTCACCTTTGTCCCCTGTGTCCCCTGTGTCACCTCCCATTGTCACCTCCCATTGTCACTTCTGCCATTGCCACCTGTGTCACCTTTTCATTGTCACCTTTGTCACCTGTGTCACCTTTTCATTGTCACTTTTGTCCCCCGTGTTACCCCCCATTGTCACCTGTGTCCCCTGTGTCACCCTCCATTGTCACCTTTGTCCCCTGTGTCACCCCCCATTGTCACCTGTGTCACCTGTGTCACCCCCGCTTTGTCACCTGTGTCACCTCCCCACTGTCACCCTCCATTGTCACCTCCTCGCAGCAATTTGGGGTGGATTTTGGAGATTTTGGGGTGGATTTGGGGGTGGATTTTGGAGATTTTGGGGTGAATTTTGGGCATTTTGAGCTTCCCAGGACGATTTTTAGGCCGGATTTCGGGTTGGATTTGGGGCTGGATTTTGGGGATTTCGAGCCGGATTTCAGGGATTTTGAGATGGATTTGGGGGATCTCAGGAATTTGAGGGTGATTTTGGGGTGATTTTGGGGTTTTTGGGGTACCTTTGGGCCCTTTGATGAGCTTGACCTCCACCACCCTCTCAGCCCAGACCTTCCTCCTCCTGCTCCTCCTCCTCCTCCCCCACCCCAGGGGCGTTTTGGGGTGGATTTCGGGGATTTCAGGTTGGATTTGAGGGATTTTGGGGTGGATTTGAGGGATTTTGGGGTGGAATTCAGGGATTTTGAGGTCCCCAGGACGATTTTTGGGCTGAATTTCAGGGATTTTGAGCCGCATTTTGGGCTGAATTTCAGGATTTTGAGCTGGATTTTGGGCTGGATTTCAGGGATTTTGAGCTGGGTTTTGGGGATTTTGAGCTGCATTTCAGGGATCTCAGGAATTTTGGGGTGATTTTGGGGTTTTTGGGGTACCTTTGGGCCCTTTGATGAGCTTGACCTCCACCACCCTCTCGGCCGGGACCTTCCTCCTCATCACGTAGAGCCGCACCACGGCCCCGGCCTCCTTGAGCGCCTCCACGGCCGCCGAGTGCGGCACCTCCCGCACGTCGGCCTCGTTCACAAACAGGATGCTGTCGTTCACCCTGGATTGGGGCAAAATCGGGGGGTTTTGGGAAAAAAACAGGGATTTTGGGGGATTTTTTGGGCATTTTCGGAGGTTTTGGGGTATTTTGAGTGATTTTGGGGTGGTTTTAGGAGGTTTTTTGGGCACTTCCCGCACGTCGGCCTCGTTCACAAACAGGATGCTGTCATTGACCCTGGATTGGGGGAAATTCAGGGGGTTTTGGTAAAAAATCCAGAATTTTTGGGAAAAAATCAGGCATTTTATGAGGTTCAGAGGGGATTTGGGGCCATTTTGGGGCAGTTTGGGGGGGAATTGGGGCAGTTTTGGGGGCACCTCCCGCACGTCGGCCTCGTTCACAAACAGGATGCTGTCGTTCACCCTGGATTGGGGCAAAAGCGGGGGTTTTTGGGAAAAAATCCGGAATTTTTGGGAGTTTAGGGGGTCCTGGAGTAGATTTTTGGGGTCCTGAGTTGAATTTTGGGTGGATTTCAGGTGAATTTTGGGTGACTTTGGATGAATTTTGGGTGATTCTAGGTGATTTTGGGGTGATTTGGGATTATTTAATGTGGTTTGGGATGATTTTGGGGAGATTTTGGGTGAATTTGGGGTTACTTTGGGTAATTTCTCACCTGAGCCTCCGAGGATGATTTTGGGGTGGATTTTGGGGTTTTTGGGGTTGGTTCTGGGGGTTTTTGAGGGTCCTGAAGCCGATTTTGGGTGATTTTGGGATGATTTTGTGTGATTTTGGGTGATTTTTGGGAGTTTTCTCACCTGAGCCGCCCATCCTGGGCAGTGGCACCCCCAGGGATGATTTTGGGGTGGATTTTGGGGTTTTTGGGGTTGTTTTGGGGGTTTTGAAGGTCCTAAATCCAATTTCTGGGTGATTTTGGGAGATTTTGATGGTCCCGAAGCCAATTTTGGGATTATTTTGGGTGATTTTGGGTGATTTTGGGAGGTTTCTCACCTGAGCCGCCCGTCCTGGGCCGCGGCGCCGCCGGGGATGATTTTGGGGGCAGTTTTGGGGTTTTTGGGGTGGATTTTGGGGTTTTTTGAGGGTCCTGAATCCAATTTCTGGGTGATTTTGGGAGATTTTGAGGGTCCCGAAGCCAATTTTGGGATTATTTTGGGTGATTTTGGGTGATTTTGGGAGGTTTCTCACCTGAGCCGCCCGTCCTGGGCCGCGGCGCCCCCGGGGATGATTTTGGGGTGGATTTTGGGGTTTTGGGGGTTTTTGAGGGTCCTGAATCCAATTTTGGGATTATTTGGGGTGATTTTGGGTTGGGGTTTTTTGGGGGCTCCCAGGTGGATTTTGGGGTCCTGTTAGACCCAAAATACCCCAAAAAAACCCCAAAATCCACCCCCAAAACAGCCAGACCCCCAAAAACCTTAAAAAGCTAATAAAAATCCCTCAAAAAACCAAAAAAACCACAAGAATTTGGGGTTTTTTGGGGGCTCCCAGCTGGATTTGGGGTCCTGTTAGACCCAAAATACCCCAAAAAAACCCCAAAATCCCCCCCCAAAACAGCCAGACCCCCAAAAACCTTAAAAAGCTAATAAAAATCCCTCAAAAAACCAAAAAAACCACGAGAATTTGGGGTTTTTTGGGGGCTCCCAGCTGGATTTGGGGTCCTGTTAGACCCAAAATACCCCAAAAAACCCAAAATCCACCCCCAAAACAGCCAGACCCCCAAAAACCTTAAAAACCTAAAACAATCCCTCAAAAAACACCAAAAAAGGAGATTTTTGGGGTTTTTTGGGGGCTCCCAGGTGGATTTTGGGGTCCTGTTAGACCCAAAATACCCCAAAAAAACCCCAAAATCCACCCCCAGAACCCCCAGAATAACCAGACCCCAAAAAACCCCTTAAAATCCCTCAAAAAAACAATAAAAAAAGACAACTTTGGGGTTCTTCAGGGGTCCCAAGTGAATTTTTTGGGGTTCCCAGGTGGATTTTTGGGCTGATTTTGGGGATTTTTTGGGGTTCCCAGGGGTTTTTGGGGCTCCCAACCCCAATTTTTGGGTTCCCAGGTGAATTTTGGGTTTTTCTGGGCTTCCCAGGTGGATTTTGGGCTGGTTTTGGGGGATTTTGGGGTTCCCATTTGAATTTTGGGGTTCTCAGGTGGAATTTTGGGCTGATTTTGGGGAATTTTGGGGTTCCCAGGTGCATTTTGGGGCGGCAGGTAAAATTTGGGGATGATTTTGGAGAATTTTCTGAGATTTTGGGGGGATTTTGGGGTTCCCAGGTGGAATTTTGGGCTGATTTTGGGGAATTTTGGGGTTCCCAGGTGGATTTTTGGGGGATTCTGGGGGTTCCCATTTGAATTTTGGGGTTCCCAGGTGGATTTTTGGGCTGATTTTGGAGGATTTTTGGAGATTTTTGGGGGGATTTTGGGGTTCCCAGGTGGATCTGGGGCAGATTTTGGGGAGATTTTTGGGGATTTTTGGGGATTTTGGGGTCTCACCCTCTCCAGAGTGATCTCCTCGTATTCCATCTCCCCCTCGGTGCCGTTCACCTGCCAAAAAAAAATGGGAATTTTGGGGGATTTGGGGGAATTTTGGGATTTTGGGAATTGGGGAATTTTGGGGAATTTTGGGATTTGGGGAATTTTGGGGGATTTTTGGGATTTGGGGATTTGGGATTGGGGGAATTTTTGTGAATTTGGGATTTTGGGGAATTTTTGGGAATTTTGGGATTTTGGGAATTGGGGATTTTTGGAAATCTGGGATTTTGGGGAATTTTTGGGGGTTTTTGGGAATTTTGTGATTTGGGGAATTTTGGGGAATTTGGGATTTGGGGAATTTTTGGGGAATTTTTAGGAATTTTGAGATTTGGGAACTGGGGAATTTTGGGGATTTTTTTTTGCGGATTTTGGGATTTTGGGAATTTTTGGGGATTTTTGGGGATTTTGGGATTTGAGGAATTTTTGGGATTTGGGGATTTTGGGAATTCAGGGAAGATTCGAGCACCTTTGGGGGGATTTGGGGTGAATTTGAGCCGGATTTTGAGAGAATTTGGGGAGATTTTGGGAAGATTTGGGGAGGATTTTTGGGCAATTTGGGGGGAGAAATTTGAAAAAAATTTGTTGGGATTTCGGGGGAATTTTGGGGAATTTTTTGGGGAATTTTGGGTGGGGTTCTGAAGGAATTTTGGGTGGATTTTGAGATAAGTTTTGATGACATTTGGGGAAGATGTTTGGGGGAGTTTTGGGGGATTTGGATGAAATTTTGGGGGGATTTTAATGAAATTTTTGGGGAATTTTGGGGGGGAATTTTGGGCTAAACTTGATGGAATTTTGGGGTGAATTTGGGGGGATTTTAATGAAATTTTGGGGTGATTTTGATGGAATTTGGGGCTGAATTTGATGGAATTTAGGGGTGATTTTGGAGGGAATTTTGGGGTGAATTTGACGGAATTTTGGGGTGATTTTGGGGGGAATTTTGGGAATATTTTGGAGGGAATTTTGGCGTAATTTTGGAGGGAATTTTGGGCTGAATTTGGGGTGATTTTGGGCTGAATTTGGAGGGAATTTTGGGCTGGTTTTGGGGGGAATTTTGGGGTGAATTTGGGGGGATTTTAATGAAATTTTGGGCTGAATTTGATGGAATTTTGGGGTGATTTTGGGGGGAGAATGTTGGGCTAAACTTGATGGAATTTTGGGGTGAATTTGGGGGGATTTTAATGAAATTTTGGGGTGATTTTGATGGAATTTGGGGCTGAATTTGATGGAATTTAGGGGTGATTTTGGAGGGAATTTTGGGCTGAGTTTGACGGAATTTTGGGCTGAATTTGAGGGAATTTAGGGGTGATTTTGGAGGGAATTTTGGGGTGAATTTGACGGAATTTTGGGGTGATTTTGGGGGGAATTTTGGGAATATTTTGGAGGGAATTTTGGCGTAATTTTGGAGGGAATTTTGGGCTGAATTTGGGGTGATTTTGGGCTGAATTTGGAGGGAATTTTGGGCTGGTTTTGGGGGGAATTTTGGGGTGAATTTGGGGGGATTTTAATGAAATTTTGGGCTGAATTTGATGGAATTTTGGGGTGATTTTGGGGGGAATTTTGGGGTGAGTTTGATGGAATTTTGGGCTGAATTTGGGTGTTTTTATGTATCTTCCAGGACCTTTTCAAGTGGTGTTTGGGTTGTTTTTCAGCTCTTAGGACTTTCTGGTGGTTTAGGAATTTTTTGGGAATTTTTTGGAATTTTTTGGGATTTTTTGGGAATTTTTGGGAATTTTTTGGGATTTTTAGGCAATTTTTTGGGGATTTTTTGGGGATTTTTTTGGGTGTTTTTATGTATCTTCCAGGACCTTTTCAACTGGTGTTTGGGTTGTTTTTCAGCTCTTAGGACTTTCTGGTGGTTTAGGAATTTTTTGGGAATTTTTTGGGAATTTTGGGGAATTTTTGGGAGTTTTTTGGGATTTTTAGGCAATTTTTTGGGATTTTTTGGGGATTTTTTGGCGAGTTTTTTTGGTTTTTATGTATCTTTCAGGACCTTTGCAAGTGGTGTTTGGGTTATTTTTCAGCTTTTAGGACCTTCAGGAAATTTGGGATTTTTGGGAATTTTTGGGGGGATTTTTTCTTTGATTTTTTGGGAATTTTTGGAGAATTTTTCTTGATTTTTGGAGCATTTTTTTGGGATTTTTTTGAGGATTTTTGAGCTTTTTTAATTTATCTTTCAGGACCTTTTCAAGTGGTGTTTGGGTTATTTTTCCGCTTTTAGGACCTTCAGGAAATTTGGGATTTGGGGGAATTTTTGGGGAATTTTTTGGGATTTTTTGGGAAGTTTTTGGGATTTCTTGGGATTTTTATTGATTTTTTGAGGATTTTTGGGGGTTTTTTTATGTATCTTCCAGGACCTTTTCAAGTCGTGTTTTGGTCATTTTTGGGCCGATTTTTCCCCTTTTTTGGGTCCATTTGGGTCATTTTTGGGTCCATTTGGGTCATTTTTGGGTTGATTTGGGTCATTTTTGGGTCGATTTGGGTCATTTTTGGGTCCGTTTGAGTCATTTTTGGGTGGATTTGGGTCATTTTTGGTCTGATTTGGGTCATTTTTGGGTTGATTTTTGCAATTTTTGGGCAGATTTTTGCCCTTTTTTGGGTCGATTTGGGTCATTTTTGGGTCGATTTTTGCCATTTTTGGGCCGATTTTTGCCATTTTTTTGTCGATTTGGGTCATTTTTGGGTCAATTTGGGTCATTTTTGGGCTGATTTGGGTCATTTTTGGGCTGATTTTTGCCATTTTTGGGTTGATTTTTGCCATTTTTTCGTGTTAATTTGGGTCATTTTTGGCTGCATTTTTGTCATTTTGGGCTGATTTTTGCCATATTTGGGCCAATTTGGGTCATTTTTGGGCCAATTTTCCCCATTTTTGTGTCGATTTCTGTCATTTTTTTGTCGATTTGGGTCATTTTTGGGCCGATTTGGGTCATTTTTGGGCCGATTTGGGTCATTTTTGGGCCGATTTGGGTCATTTTTGGG